TACCGCAAAGGGGACCCCACAGGGGGGCTGCGGGGGCAGCCAGCACCCCGGCACAGCCCAGGGCTTGTCTTTGGGTTTCCTCACCCGTCTGTCTTGGGGTCATGCTGGCAGCAGCTGTGAGCCACCAAAATCCATTCCACCCTCATGCAGGCAGAACAGACCCCCCTTTGTCTGGGGGTGATGGGGGCACCTGTCCCAGTTGACAAAGAGCCCCTTGACTGCGCCCTGCACATCCTCTTGCGGCCTTTTGACTCGGGTTTTGTAACAGGTTTTTTTTACCCCCTGTCTCTCCCCAAGTGCTGCGGGTGGTGGTTCCTAGATGGACTTTTATCAGCACTGTTGAAACGGTGCTTTGCTGGCAGCTCTGGGCAAAGTCCCCACAGGGGCGGAAGGAGAGGTGGGAGCCCGGCTGGTGTGGGGATGGAGGGGGGCAAGCTGGGGGGTGGCCTCACCCTGGGCAATCAGCTCGTGCAATGAGCTGGGGCTCCCTGCGGTCCACCCACCCCTTCCCTGCCCTGGTCGGTGTGTCTTGGGCAAAAGGGTCAGCCCAGCCTGGCCCCGCGCTTGCTGGTGGCAGGTTGCCCAGTGGGACGTCTGGCTGGGGGTCACCACAGTTGCTGGGAGCAAGAGGTCGTGTGCTGGATGTTTGGGTGCCTTCCTGACACCAGGACTTGGGGTTTCTTTCTGCCCCTGAGGCCCTTTCAGACTGCTTCAGCCTTGGGGTGGGATGGGGATGCTTGGCCCTGGCTTGCCCCTGGCATTACCCCGTTCCAAATGGGCTGCTCCTGCCTGCCACAGGCGCAGAGGGAGCTGGGAAGCTCCTCAGGTCTCTCCTTGATGGGGAGCCGTGCTCTCCAGCCTAGGTCACCCCAGCCTGGCCCGATGCCTGGCTTCTGCCTTGGACAGAAGCCCAAGGAGCTCCATTTGGATAAATGGGAAGATACAGGGTCACAGTGTTTAGAGATGCTGAAGTCGGGGGCCCTCATCTCCGGCACATGTCCAGAGCCACAGCCACCACTGTGCACAGCTGGCCAGGCGCGTGGCCAGGGCTGCAAGTGCTGGGGCCATGGTAGGAGCAACCTGCTGAGAACGTGGGTCTCGGTGCTGTCTTCTCAATGGCTGTTTCTTTTCCCTGCAGAGCTCCCGGAGGATTGCCACCAGCTCTTCCTGGCCGGGCAGCAAAGCAGCGGTGTTTTCCAGGTGCAGCCTGCAGGGTCTCAGCCCTTCAAAGTCTACTGCGACATGACCACAGGTAAAACAGTGAAGATGTCCTGCAGCACTTTGCATGGTGGTCTTGCGAATGGTAACCCCAAATGACTGTGTCTTTTCTGCCTGCAGAAGGTGGCTGGACAGTGATCCAGAGGCGCACAGACGGCTCTGTGGACTTTGACCAGCTTTGGGATGCCTACAAGAATGGCTTTGGAGACCTTCATGGTAGGTGGATGATGGTGTCTATCTTCTTATTGTGGGCTAAGTGATATCTTAGCACAAGTTATTCCCCCTTACTGGACCCTGGAGATCTCTGTGTGCTGGAGCACAGTGTTGGGCTGAGGAGGTGGGGGGACGCTGCTTGTGGAGCAAGAGTCCTTGGTCTTCCTGACTTGCCCTGCAGGTGCCAGACAGCAATTCAAATGCTGCAGTGTCCTGTTTGTCTCTAGAGCCTGTTCACATGTCTGCTTTGCACGGCATGCTTGTGTCCCTGCAGCCAATGCAATGTGTCTTGTTTCAGGTGACTTCTGGCTGGGCCTGGAGAAGATACATCACCTTGTCCAAGAGGGAAGATATGATCTCCTGATTGAACTGGAAGACTGGGAGGGAAATTCCCAAGTGGTTCAGTTTGTCTTCAGCCTTGGTGGCGAGAGCACAGCCTACACACTCAACCTGCTGGGACCTCTGTCTGGAGAGCTGGAAAATGCCATTGGGGACTTCAGGCAGCTGCCCTTCTCCACTCGGGATCGTGACCACGACCTCAAAGCTGACACAAACTGTGCCAAACACCTCTCGGGTCAGTACGAGCTCTTCCTTCCCAGTGGTGTGCGCTGGGACTAGACCCCTTTGGTGTTGAGCCCAGCTTGTCCCCTGCTTCCCTGGGAAAGCTGCATCCTTGGGAGGAGTCATGCAGGGAACTGGGAGGGATGCTGAAACCAGGAGAGGCTTATGATTCAGGTCTTGGCCCAAGACTCTGTCTTTGTAACAGCTTTGCTGGCTGCCACCTTGCTTGGAAACCTTTCAAGCAAAGCAGAGGCCAGTCCCCAGGCTGGAGATGGTGCTGCTGAAGGGTTTGAGGGGGTTTTGCATGCAAGGAAGAGCAGCAGGGATTTGCAGACACATCCTGAAGTCATACAGGATCTGTGCAAAGGTTTCCCAGTGCGTGGGACTCCTCCAGTGTGTATGAGGTGGTCTTGTAAGGTCCCAAAGCCCTGGAAAAGTGGGGAAAATGGGGGCAGCAGCTGCCTTGAACCTGGGGTAGTTTTTCTGTCTGGAAGTGCTGTGAGTTAAACCTGCCTCTGTGTTGCCTTGGTAGGTGGCTGGTGGTTCAGCACCTGTGGCCATGCCAACCTCAATGGGAAGTACTTCCGCTCCATCCCCCGCCAGAGGCACGAGCGCAAGCAGGGCATCTTCTGGAAGACATGGAAAGGCAGGTATTACCCGCTGAAGTCAACCACTATGAAAATCCAACCCGCAGCACTGGAAGCAGAGCCCTAAAGCTGCCACTTGAGACTTGACCTCTGCGGAGCACAGACCTGAGCTCCATCACTTGGTGTTTACAGAAAACAAACCCACCCTCCCCAGGAAGTCCCCCAAGGAGCATTTCTCTTGGTTAGCAGCCCTTTAGTGGCATGACACAGCTCCTAGCTATAAATAAAACAGCTCTGCGTTGCTGAAACCCCTGGATGGGAGCTCCCAAACCAGAAGAGGAGCCACCAACAGGGAGATCCACCTCCAGAGCATGCACAAGGGTCTTCCAACCTGCCACGTGCTGTTGCAGCAAGTTCAAGTTGTCTGGTGCTTTCTGTCCTGTCTGAACACCTCTGTGCTGGTTTTGGTGAGCTGGGGCTGGGGGGGAAGGGGAGCATGTGAAGTGTTTTGCTACGCTGGACCCAAGCGTTGGGTATGGAGCCTCGCTGTGTCCCGTCTCTCACTGCTGTTCCCAAATGATGTCCTGTGTATCCTCCCATGAAAGCCCCCAGGGCCTCCTTTCTCCTGCTGGTGCTGTGGGGTAGTGAGCCTCTGGCAGCTCCATCTGTGCAGGCCCTCCTCCGCTGACTTCAGCCCGCTGAGAATATGGGTTTTGGTGGGAAGGCTGAAGGACACCCTGTGCAGAAGGGGACCTCAGGCTCACTTGGCTTCCCTGACCCCCACGGCTTTGAAGCCCTGTATTTCTGGCTGTGCTGGAATTTGTTAGGAGCTGGGGAAACTGCTTCCAGCTCCAGGAGATGATGGATGGGATCCTGCAGCCAGTTGCATGAGGGCCAGATCCTGGAGGGCTGAGTCTTAAGTTGTTAAGTGTTGCTGGGGGTGGTTAGGATGAGCGCTAGGACAGCACAGGTACAGAGCAGTGACTGTCCCTGGGCAGGACCAGCCCTGCTGTCGGCTGTAAATCCCCCTGGAGCATGGAGGGCTGCCTTCTCCCAGCAGACTCCCTGTACTTTGCAGAGTGAGTAGTACTGTCCCACATGCATGCCCCAAAAGTTGCTCTAAAGGGCCAGGGGACAACAGGGTTTCTCTGCAAGAGCTGCACTCCCTTGATGTACAGCATCGCCTCTGCCTTTGGGGTGGGTGTCTGGGGAGAGGTGGGCAAAACAGGTCCCCAAAAACTGTTAAGGGCCAAGCTGCCGTCTTGGGGCTTCCCAAGCATCCTGCCCTATTGAAGTCATATTGACTACTGTGCTAGAGCTCCTAGCTGCTAAATATTGTAAATAGTCATTTGTAGGATGTTGGATCTTGTCGATGAATTTCCTTTTTTAATTTGTTTCTGTATTTAAATGCAGTGTTAATAACAATGTGGTGTAATTTATAAACATTGATGCTGGGAAAAAAAAAGCAAGTAGTTTGTAGTATGTGTATTTTAAACTTTTTTTGTACTAAAATACCTTTTCTGAAGATGTCTTTTAATAAAAACAAGCCTGTAACTGTCCTGCCTGGATTATTTGCCCAGTGGTTTACCAGTAGAAGATGTGTAGGAGCTATGTGAGGACTCTGGATTCAGAAACTTTATGTGTTGGGAGTTTGACCCGAGCACTACGCTTCCTTCTGGCCTCAATGTTCAGCTGTAGCCTTATGGAGCTCTCTGAGATAAATCCCTGCTATAGCCCCTAGCAGTAGTTTTTAGTCTGTTTGAAGCTTATGGCCTTCTAAATTTCTTTTCCCTCTGGAAATCAGGCCCTGGGGCAGCAAGTTTACAAGTGATGATGAGATGGCTCTTATTCCCTGGTGGCAGACCTTTGCACCAGGGAGATATTCCTTGTAGCTGGCTGAAAACCCTGTGCCAACAGCTTGGACAAGAGCAGAGGCTGAGGTCTGAATTATCTGGATGGATTAAAGTCAGAGCTGATCAGCACAAGCCCCAGTAAGTATAGTAGCCTTTTACCTACTCATACCATAGATGCATAGTCATCTCCAAAAGCATTTATTGCAGCTTCTGGGGAATGATTACATATGTAGGAATGAAGTGAGCTGGGGATGGAGCGGAGGCCTTGAAGATGATGGAGGGTAAACTCCAGCTGTGCTCACAATCCTAGACATGATACCAGAGATGGAGAAAATAGCAAGTGCTTCTTTACCTGGTCAAGGAAGGGGGACAAAAATTGCTCATTACAGAAGGAAGAGACAAGAGACTGCTCTAGTCCCCTAGAGCAGCTGTATAAATACCTGATGTACCTAAATGTGGCCCCAACTCCTGTGTCTGTCCTCCTTCCCTGGGGAAAAACCTGGGGTTAATGATAGCCCCAAGCACAATTGCATGAACCCATTTGTTAGCCCTCTGTGCTATCTATCTGCTCACTCTTGCATTCAGAAATACATTTTTAATGTTCCATTTGCTTAATTCAAACCTTGTTTAGTCCCTGGGTGCACCAGCAGATACTGGAGTGCTGTGTTTTAGTCTGGATGCTAAAGTGATTAGACTTTATGCATCAAATAGAAACTGGTGAAGGAGATATGCTGTATTTATTTGTTGCTGGGGTTTTTTTTGGTAGATCTGGGGTTTGCTCCCTTGTGGTGCATTTAATCTTCAGCATCTACAGGAGGTGCCAGGAGGACGATGCCAGCTGGTACCAAACACCAGCCGGGGGAAGGCTAAATGGCCCAAATCTTGCCTAGCCCAGGAACTACAGCCGCTGCTTTCTCCTGTGTCTCGGTCTTGCCCTGCTTGGCTGCGCCAGTCTCCATGTCCCATCTGTGTCAATGCCCCCCGACCACAGGTCCCATGCCGGAGTGTGTGGCGTCCCGGGGCCCTTCCAAGGTCCCTCTGCAGAAGGGGCCAGTCCTGGCTCTCTGTTTTCATCTGAAATCCCCCTGGAGTCCTAATTTCTTCATGGAAAGAGTTGTCAAGCAGTGGAACAGGCTGCCCAGAGAGGTGGTGGAGTCCCCATTCCTGAAAGCGTTCGAAAAACGGGCAGAGGTGGCACTTGGGGACATGGTTTAGTCTAGTCTGCCCTTAATTGGTTTAGTGTGGACTTGGTAATGTTAGGTTAATGGTTGGCCTGGATGATCTTAAAGGTCTTTTCCAACCTAGATGATTCTATGATTCTATGATTTTCAGCAACTACCGGAACTGCAGCCTGCCGTGCCGTCGGGAAGCCCCGTGAAGGGTGGGGCAGCTCCCTCCAGCGACAGCGACAGAAACGGCACCGACATCCTCCGGGTTCCGAAATGCCGCTGCTCCCCAAAATCGGCCATCGCTCCTGTACGGGCCGTGACGTGCTGTGCCAGCCTGCGGCCCCGCAGCAGCTCCTGACATGATGGTCCACCCAGGGCTTCGAGCCCTCCCAGCAAAACCTCACCGAGCAGCTGAAAAGAAGGGCTGTTGCTTGTTTTGCGTGCTTGGAGGGGCTGTGCTGAAGGCGGTGGTGGGGCCCGAGCTTAGCACATGCCGGGCAGCTAAAGGCTGTGGGGTCTGGACATGCTGGGACAGGGCTTTTCGGGGTGAGGAGCGCTGCAGGACAGCCTGGGGCTGCGGGCCAGCAGGGTGACACGGGGCTGGCGCGTGCCTCAACATGGGGCTCGGACTCATTAGTAGAAGTAGATTGAACTGCAGCTGCCTTGGACCTGGGGGCTCTCGCAGAGCATCGTTAGATCAAGAAGACGTTGCACATCAGGTACCGATATCCTGACCCAGCTGCGTTTGGTGGCCCCAGAAAGTGAGGAGAGACCCAACCCGCTGCACAGAGGCCCCTTCAAATCCAGCCTGCATCTGAATGGCAGAAACAACCACCGGGACATCCAACAGGGTGGTCTCAAGCCCTTTTTTATACAACAGCGGAATCCAAATTGCTCTTTGCAAAGTTTGGCAAAAAGGGAAGGTGTTTGTGCATACATAGTGCTGCGCCAGCTTGGGTGGACGGGCTGAGCGCCCTGCACCGCTGGCACCGAGACACTGGAGGGGGAAAGCCAAAGGCATTGCCCTGAGCCCCCCACTGCCAGTGCGGCTGCCGCAGAGCACTACAATGAAACAAAAAAGGCAAATCCCTGCTTGAATCTGAAACGTGGTGCAAAGCCAAGAAACGGCAAATTAGTAACAAGAGAAGTTCTCCACCCAGTGACAGTCCCCAGGCACCCTCCAGCCCAGGGCCTGACCCTCGGCCTTGCCAGCGCCAGCGAGAGTCATGCTTTCAAAGCTGTCCCTCGCTCCAAATGCCTCAGGTGCCTGGCGGACACTGGGGCATCAGGACTCTCCCAGTCTTCCCAGTAACTTCAGCTCTTCTGCTGGGGCTCAGCAGCATCGAGCACAAATCGAGTTTCCCGTGGATGTGTCTGGCACAGCTTTGCAAGCACCTGCACCCTTTCTAGGGACACTTCCCAAGCAGAGTATTCTGGGGTGGCTCCCTCGAGGGTGCTCACAGACACCCAGAGGACCAGATCCCACTAAGAGGGTGGGAAGGGGAACTCCTGGCTCAAGTATCCCAGGCAGGCAGCTGCACCCTGGGGCACTGCAGGGGCTGAGGCACCCAGGACAAGAAGCAGCATCTTGGGTGACAATTTTGAGTAAGTTTTTATCATGTAAAAAAAAGAAACAGATGGCATAGGCCTGTGTGCTTTTAACGGTGTGTGCCCCAGCATAGGTCAAGAAAATATTAGGGGCTTGTAGGACCTCTGCTGACTGAGGCGACCAATTTGAGAACACTCGTGTGATTTCCAGAAAGGGTCTGTAAATGCATTGACCTGTCAACAACCAGTGACACATGGCTGGTTTTGGTGACATGACACCAATGCTCCAACACCAAACATACCATGAGCCTGGGGGACTCCTGAGGGCAAAGAATGCAGGGACTCCGGGCTCATGCTTCACACCACATCGCCCTGGGGCAGCATCCCTTCCCTAACACCAAGTCATCACCTTCACTGCCTGCAGCCCATGTTAAAACTCTACCCCAGGGGATTTTGGAGCTGGATGGCACTCACAAGGATACCTCGGTCATATATTGCTCTTTAAAACTTATGGCAAAAATTCCCAGGTATTGGAAGAAGAAAAGAAGAAAGTAATTTCCATCCAAACCAATAAAAAAAAGCTTTGGGTTTTTTTTAAACACCCCCCCCCCCCCCCCCCCCACACACCAAACCCTAGAACCAACCACAC